TCCTAGCTGCTTATTTTGTCCTACATTCCTATTAAGCAGTCTGCTGTGGGAATTCCAGCTCAATCCCAGTGCGTATACACAGGGGAGCTGTGCACCATTCGCCAGCCCAGCCTAGCATTAGAAGACATATTTCACCGAGCGCTCCAAAGCAGACCATGCACCTTGGTCTGCTGGACTTCTCCTTTGCAGAGCCTCTTTTGGAAGATCTGGGTTTGCCCAGGGTCCTCCCAAAAGACAAGGGCTGGAAGAGCACTCAGAGAATCCACTAAAAGTTGTCTCCAGGGGCTGAAGGTAGTGCTGTCTGGATGCTTCCTAAGAAGGAACCTGAAGCAATCGGAAAACAAGCGGGTTCGAAAAGGAGATGGTCTTTAAAAGTGTGGGAGACATGGTCCTGTCTGTGCTCTGCAAGATTTCAAGGGCTGACCTTCGATCTGCTAGTTAACTTCCTCCCACAGTTTCCACTGGTTACCTACTATCTTCTAACAGTCTCATGCTCACATCTATAGCTAAACAGCACAACTCTTTTGAAGGCAGTCATGGAATTTGTTAAATTAACTATGATCCCCAGTTCTCTAGACAAGTTATTAAACATCTGTGAGCCTTAGTTCCCTCACCTGTGAACAAATAAAATAGAATAAAATCTATCCCCCAGCATCATAAAGGTTAAGTAAATAACACTCCGACGTGCCTAGCCCATAGTAGGGCTTCAGTAAATGTGAACAATTCCTTCTTCCTTGTTTCTTTCACCGCCCCCCTCCCCCAAAGCACTTTGCATTTGAGAATCAGCCAAAGATTCAAAACAAAGAGAACGGTCTGCCACCAACCTGCAATGTGACATTGGACTTCTCTTGGTCAGAATTTGTTGGGATACTTTTGGTTGAAAGTAGCAAACTCAAATTAATGCAAGCAGGGGAGGTGGAGAGAATGTATAATTATAAAAATACAGAGGTGACTCAGAGAAACCATGAACTGGAATGCAGCAAGGTCTCAGAAAAGGAATGGAACCAGGGATAGGAACGTGCCAAGAAGTTTAAGATGTTTCTTCAGTCGCTCCTCCTTTCTCTTCTTTCAGCATTGCTTCCATTTGAACTACTTCCCAGTCCACAGACCAGACCACAGCTCTCGATAACTCCTCTAAATACTCCAGTTATGCCAGTTGAACCCCTTCCCTTAAGCCTAATTCTAAATTCCTGAGGAAGACTTTCATTGGCCCAGTTTGGGTTGGGCCATATCCTTGAACCAATCAACAGTGAGAAGGAGAGGGTCCACAAGGCTTTATTGGCCCAGCTTAGGTTGGGTCCCCACCCCTAGTCCAATCAACAGCATCTAGGGGTGGGACCATGTTGCACAATATGGCAGCTCCTACTGTAACAATAATGATAGGGAAAGTAAAGGACAGCATCCAGAGAAGGAGTATCCCAAAAAGTAAGTGAGCTGCTGAGATAAATGAGACATAATACCTGCTCTTAAAGAGCTCAGCTTAAAAAGGGAAACAGACCCAGAAGACAGATGAACTCCGAACCTACTCAGAAAAGTCCGATACAGTGATAAGAATCAGAGACATCCACACAACCAGCAGTCGGTGGGAAGTCGCCAGAAGTGGTACCAATCACCATCCCAAGATCATCCTAGGACCTGACGAGCTAATTAATCACAATTATTATTGATGACAGTGCCAATCCGCCTGCTCATGTCACAAGACATTAGTTATTGCCAGGAATGATGAATCCCGGGATGTAGAACATGCTAAAAATATTAATCTACAAGTGAAAATGATTTTAATTGGATTTCGCCCTTGGGGTCGTGTCAGGGGCCCGCTTTCAATCAGACTTGTCCAGTCAGCAAAGCAGACCCCAGCCTTTCAAATTGAAACTGTGATTGGCTGGCAGAGGTTAATAGAAATGTTGGGAAATAAATAGGTTATTGATTGATCATAACAATCAGCGGCTCCCGGCTCACCTTGCTGACCTCGCCCACCCAATTTTAGGGCAAACTCGGTTAGCATCTAATTATAGAACACTTTTACAATACTGTGTATTAATGAGTAGATTATACAGCGGGGGGTAGGGGAATTCTTACTGCAGAAGTTTCCTGGTGGCAGAAAAACGTGGTGGGACCTCACATCCAACTTGGGGACTGTCAGGGGGTGAGAGAGATCCTAAGAGGAATAAAGTCACTCTCCCCACGTCCCTGACAAAAGCCTCATTCGTCCGCTCAACACATTTATCGGGCATGGGCTTTGTGCAGGGAACCTGGGAAGGTTAGGAACTCGCTCTGTAATGCCGTGCTTCTAAACAGCTGTGTGAGCCCAAGAATCACTGGGCAGGGTCCTGCTAAAGAGGACGATCCCTGGGCACACCCCTTGGGATTTTGATTCAAAGGGTCTGCATTTATAAAATTTTCAAGTTTACTTATTTCCTTCATGAGAGTGAGATACAGAAACATAAAGAGAGACACACAGGGACAGACAGGGTCTCATGTCACGGACCCCCCACACACACAACCTCAGCACTGGAAGTCAGCCAGGATCCCAAGCGTGTGTTGTTGGTGTGTACAGGTCACCTGGGGAGAAGGGACTGCTGTGTGGCCATCGATGGAGACTTACCTCCGAGCTGGGTGAGGAGAGAGTAGCTTTTAGGGTTTCTTGGGGATTTATTTTTGTTTTTTGATTGATTATTTCACGAGAGAGTGAGAGAAACAGAGCAAATAAAGACACAGGCACCCCATAGGGTCCTCATACCACAATCCACTCTCAGCCTCAGCCAGCCTGGATCACCGGCATGCACAGGCATGCCGTGCACTCAGGAAGGTCCCAGGATTCAAACCCAGGACCTTTCACATGTGCATCTGGTTGTGTTACTGCTGCGCCCCTGCCTGGCCCTGGGAGTACCTTGTAAAGAGCAACAGAGGTGGCTCAAAGTCACAAGCCCAGGGTAACTGGGTGGGGGAGAGGAGTCAGGGGAGTCAAGCACAGCAATGCCCATGTGGATGGCATCTTTGACAAATGCAGTTTCCCACCTGATTCCTCCATAGGCTCCTCCCCAGGCCCTCTGCTTCTCTTCCCACTCCAATCCATTTTTTTCATTCTCCCCCCTAGCAGAGGGAGGCCAATGTTGAAAGTATAAATCAGTCATTTCACCCTCAGTGCAAAACCCTCCAGCGGTGTCCAAATATACGTAGGGTACAATCGGACTTCTGACTGGGGTTTAACAGGCCCTGAACTCTGCAGCCCCAGCTTGCCCCTTCACTCTCGCCTCCCACTACCTTCTGGTCCAGTGGCCTCCTCTCTGCCCCTCCAAGCTCATTCCCAACCATGGGCCTTTTCCCTGCTGTTCTTCCTGCCTGCCATTTCTGTCCTCCTAGCACCTATGGCTGACTCTACCTCAAGCCCAAATGCCACCGCCGCGGAGAAGCCCTCTCTGACCATCACCTAATCTTGCCCATTCCCCATCACAGTCGCTGTCCCACTGTCCACTGTCGGTGAAGGCCCGACCACGTGCACAGGGATGAATGGTGGTGGGATCATTTAACACTTTCAGTCTCATGCAGAATGCCTGTCTCCCAGACTGGACTGGGAGTGCCAGGAGGACAGGAGCTGAGTTTTGTCTGATCGCTGTGTTCTAGGTACCCAGCAAGGCACGTGGCACACAGAAAGTGTTCGATCTCACCCGCAACTGACGCAGATCCAAAGTCTACACCAGAACAAAAGACTCTTTGTCTGGAAATGAAAGCAGGGAACAGGGCCAAGCAGGTGGTATGGTGATTAAGGTGCTGGACTCTCCTATGGCCAATCCCAGTTCAGGTCCTGTTGGCTTGCTTTCTCTTTCTCTCTCGCACACCCTATAGCAAACTTAAAATAATAACAATAATAGGGCTCTGGACTCCCACATGGCTGACCATGGTTTGAGTCCTGGACCTGACAGCTTGCTTTCTCACTCTCTCTCTCCCCCACCTCTTTCTCTCTCTCTGTTCCTCTCTGGTAAAAATAAAAATAAAACAAATAAATAAAGCTAGATAAAGTAATTATTTTAAAAATAATAGCAATAATTAATAAAAATTAAATTAATTGTTTTTTTAAAGCAGCGAGCAAACAAAGTGAAGCTATGCTCAGATAGGATTCCGTGGCCAGAGGACCTTATCCTGGGCTCATGTGGGGAGCAGAGCCAAGCTGAGGCCCAGCACTCTGTGGACGAAACTGACATCCGCTGATCTCCCTACTCTGCATCACCTCCCCTATTGGACTCTTGTTCTGCATAAGGAACTGGGAGGCAGGTGAGGAAGCTGCCACAGCAGTCCAGGACAGAATTGCTGGTGATCTAGACTCAGGCATGGCACAAAGGTGGAGGACAGTGGGCATTATCAAGAGAAGGTCAGGAGGTGAAATGACGGGGCCTGGTCAAAGGCTGTCATAGAGGGTGAGGGAAGGTAAAGGATGACTTCTTGTTTCTTCTTTGGGTGACCAGTGGGGCTCTTCACTGAGCGGGAAAATGTTGGAAGGGGCTCAAACTTAGGGGGAGAAATCCTGAATCCAGCTGAGAAAGAAGCAAAGATTGGGGCCAGCAGGTGGCATGGGGGTTCAGGGTACTGGACTCCCACATGGCTGACTGCGGTTCGAGTCCTGGACCTGGTGGCTTGCTTTCTCACTTTCCCTCTCTCTTTCTCTCTGTCTCTCTCTGGTCAAATGAAAAACAAATAAATAAATAAATTTAAATAATTCTTAAAATAAAAAATAAAAAAGCAAAGATTTTTCTTAAAAGGAACTGTATCTGTTGTTATTGCTGCATAAGAAGTTCTCCAAGACCTCGGGACTTAAAACGACAATCGAGCACTGTGGCAGCAGCACGACACTCTGCAATGCTAAAGGCCATATGGTTCCCAGGTCAACTGTACACTGAGAGTATGTGTCTGTGTGCCTGTGTCTCCCCCAGGGAGGTGATGTCTCTCTCCAGCAAGCACTCACACCCCATAGCAAAAATCTCTTTAAAAAAAAAAACAATGACAAAAAAGAACCACAATCATTTATTTTGAGGCAGGGCTCGGTGGAGACAGTTTCTCTCTGTCCCATGCAGCATCTTCTGGTGGGAGGGCAGGTCAGTTACGGCTGTTGGTCACTCACAGGGTGCCCCAGATGGTGCTGGCCGTGGTCTGGGAGCTCAGCCAGGACCCTGGATGGTGGGGCTTGTTTCTTCTTCACGCAGGTCTCTTCACAGCTGCTTGAGCTTCCTCACAGCATGGCGACTGGGTTCCAGAGGTCAGTGTCCTCTCCTCTTAGGACCTAGGCTTAGAAGTCACGTAGCTTCTCTTCCACTAATGTCACAAACCCACTCAGATTCAAAAGGAAGAGGATCGAGGTCACATTAAAAGAATATGTGTATGTTGTAATGATATACAGTGACTGACTGTAAAATAAACAAATATAAATAAATAAATAAAAGGGAAAAAAGAAAGAAAAGAAAAAGAACATTGGGATTGGAGATACGGTGTGGCCATGTCTGGAAATACAACCTTCCATGGGAACAATAATAGCACATTTACTGCACACCTACTCTGTGCCAGGAACTTCATGCATGTGGCGGTGTCCTTTCACCCTCAAGACCATCCTGTGATGGAGATAGTCTTAGTGTGTTTTGTGCTGCTATAACAGAATACCTAAGATGAGGTGGCCTACACATGATAGTGTATTTTGCTCACAGTCCTAGAGGCAGAGAAGTCCGAGAGCATGGTGCCAGCATCCAGCGAGGGCCTTCATGCTGTGTCACCCCACGGCAGAAGCAGACAAGAAGCAAGAGCGAGACAGAGGATGGGGGCCAGACACATCCGCTAACCAGGAACCTACTCCCGGGATAACTAACTGGCTCCTGCGATGATGGGCTCAGTCATTCATGAGGGCCAAGCCACCATGATCTCAATACCCCTGAAAGGTCCTGCCTCTTTTTTTTTAATTATTTTTTAAATTTAACTTTCTTTCTTTATTTATTTAAATTTGACCAGAGAGGGACAGAATGAGAGAAGGGGGGAAAGTGAGAAAGCAAGCCTCCAAGTCTGGGACTTGAACCATGGGCAGCCATGTGGGAATCCAGCACCCTTAACCACCTCACCATCTGCCGGCCCTGGCCCTGCCTCTTAATACCATCACGATTAGCACAGAGTTAAAATGTGACCTGCTGGAAGCTGACTCACGTGGAAAGGTTGCTGGTTCATGTTTGGGGGACCTCCTTGAATACAGGCATGCACATGCCCATAATCTGAGCTGGCTGGAGTTGGGGGTGGATCATGGTGTCAGGACTTTGTTGGGGTACTGCTTCTCTTCTCTCCTCTCCTCCTTCTCTCTCTCTCTCACTTATGGAATGAAAAAACTTCATTTTCTAAAAAATTTCAACATGGGGCCAGCAAGTGGTATGGAGGTTAAGGCGGCTGGATCCCCACATGGCCAACCGTGAGGCAGCTTGAAAAACACACCAGGTGTGTGCGCAAACATGCCCAAAATCCCAAGAGGAGAAAGGACTGCAGTGTGGCAACCCCCCGGGAGGATGCTTTCTCATTTTCCCTCTTTATCTCTCTCTCTCTGTCTCCCCAGAAAGTGCAAACAAACAAACAAAAAAACAACAAACAAAAAATTCCACGTGAGTTTGAGAGGCAATGCTGAAACCATAGCAGAGCTCCTAGAGTCATCTCCATTTCACAGCCGGGGATACAGACAGAGGTGAAGCGACGGCTCCAGGTGACACAGTTCCTGAACCTAGATTCGATATGGACCTTCCTACCTCCGGTGTTTGGGGCAGCACTCAGCACTCAGTCTCCTTTTACACCACACGCCAGCGCCCCGCTAAGTGCCTATCACAGCCGGGGATACAGACAGAGGTGAAGCGACGGCTCCAGGTGACACAGTTCCTGAACCTAGATTCGATATGGACCTTCCTACCTCCGGTGTTTGGGGCGGCACTCAGCACTCGTCAGCGCCCCGCAAAGTGCCTAGGCCTGGACTGAGGGCTGTGGTGCTGGGTGGAAATCAAAGACCATGAGATCCAGGGGGTGCCATCCCTCCCTGCCTGAGAACCTGGGAAAGCTTCAGGGAGGTTGTGGCCTGACCCCAGTGGCAGGAGGTGATGTCTGGTATGAGCTCCCCCGGCCCAGCAGCCATGAGATGGCTGGGAAAATGCCCCCACAGCCCATGCTTCCAAGGCATTCTGGTCCTAGGGCGGCTGGAGGCTCCAGCACATTCCTCACATTCCAGGCTTTTCTGGGGGAGGAAGCCTCTCTCCGGTGGGAGAGGCCTCTGTGTGGAAATCAGGAGACTGACTCACCAGCTCCCTACAGGGGCCTGTGCCCCACTGGCTGCAGCTGTGCCCTGTCGGCACTTTGCAGGGAGGATCCGCTCGCCCTCCAGGACAGAGACGCCCCAGGAGCACAGACCAGCCGCTCTGTGACTTGGTCCTGCTGCGACGTTCAGCTCACTTAACCTTCCCCTGGACTCCTGCCCGGGCCAAGACAGGCCAGAGACACGCGAAACACACACGGGGGTCTGTTACGGGCTGGCCCCGCATACACTCCCTTGTCGAATGAGGGAGAAACGCTATTCCCCGGTTACAGATGAGAAACTGAGGTGCGATAGGCCGACTCAGCAGCCCTAAGTCACGGTCAGTGGGGGAATCAGCCTGCTCTGGCCCCGTCAACTCGAAGGACTTTGCTCTCTCCTCTTTCTGTCATTCAGCGATCGGTGCTGGCCGCCGGCTCTGTGCCCCGCGTGGCGCTGGGTACTCAGGGTACTACTGCAGGCATCGTGCCTGCCCGGTGGGGCTCGCAGTCAGGGGAGGCAGCACATGAGCAAGAAGATGGGAAACCCCAAGCTGTTCTCTGCCCCCCTGGAACAACGAGGACTCCCCAGGGAAGAGCAGGACTGGGAGATAGAACCTGGCGTGGTGCATGCACGTGAGCACAACCCGAGAGGAGGTGGGGTCCGCGTGCTGGGGTGGTGACCCTGTGGGTGTGGTGACCCACTCGCAGCTGGGCTTCCCATCTTCCAGGTGTGTGTCTTTGGACAAGTTTATTCACCTCTCTGAGCTCCAGGCCCCTCCTGTGAGATGAGGGTGACTAAACGCTCAAACGACTATGAGCGCCGCGTGAATCCATGTCCAAACCGTGTAGCGCAGAGCCCGGGACATGGCAGACACTCAGAAAAGGGAGCCGCCGTCTTCTGGCCACCGAGGTGGACGAAGGCAAGCGGTTTGGAGGTGGGACAGAAGGAGGGCTCCTGTCCCTAGGTGGGGCCCACATCATCAGTGGGTCTCAGACTACTCTAGACCTCGGAGATGGGAGACCGCTGGGGCACACTGCACTGCCCGAAATGCCAGTATGAGCCAAGCCAAGAGCAGCACAGAGGGACGGAGGTCCACGTCAGTTAGTCCCCTTTACAGAAGAGGAAACAGGCCCAGAGAGAGGAAGTCACTTGCCCTGTTTTCTGTTAAGAACAGAAGCCTTGGGACCAGCAGATGGTGAAATGGTTACATCCCTGGACTCCCACGTAGTCCATCGACTGTGGTTCAAATCCCAGAGCCGGAGGCTTAAAACTCAGCCGGGTGCGTGTGTGTGCGTGGTCAAGTACCCAAGAGAATGGAGGAGAAGGGACTGCAGCATGGACGTCCACCCTTGGTGTGCGTGTGTGTGTGTGTGGGGGGGGTGATTTCTCGTGTCTGTCTCTCTGTCTCCCTCTAGCTCTGGTGAGCTCACATTCCCTATAGCAAAAATCTCTTTAAAAAAAAAAAAAGGAACAGAAGCCTTGGCAGATCTAAGCAGAGCTTTTCCAGAGCTGCATTCTCCCCACCTCTCCCTTCTCCCACCCATACCAGACTCTGCTTGTTGTCCTAAAACTGAAATCCCAAGAGTATCCCCCACTGGGCAACCCCAAATGCCCTTGAGAGGAGCCGGTTTCCAAGACCCAGCACAAGCAGCGGGGGCTTGGTGCAAGACTGCCATCTGCTGATCACTCCTATGAACTACAGCTCTGGCAGCCACTGGCATCTAAACGGGGGCTCTGGAACTCTGCGTCTCAACTCAGGAAGGTGAGACTGCCACAGACAGAATGAGAGGCACACAGCAGATCCCAGTGGATCCACCCTCAGTAACCCAGACGGTAAGAGATTACCCCAAAAATAAAAAAGGTAAAACACTGTATTCTTAGTAAATCTGTTTTAGAAAAAGTTATTTTTCATAAAGCGAGTGTTAATTAGGTCAATACACAATATTTCACTACTGTTAGTATTATTCAGTTCATTGATGTCAATGAACTAAATAAACGAGTCTTTTTTAAATGTTTCAGTTTTAATTTCTAATGCAGGAGTCTCTAAAATGTTCATGACAAATGCATATTACTTTTAAAGAACTACCAGGGCCAGCAGGTGGTGTGGAAGTTAAGGAACTGGATTCCCACATGGGCAATGGGGGAGAAGGGATTGCAGCATGGCCATCCCCCTGGGAGGGGAATGATTTCTCACTTTCCTTCTCTCTGTTTCTCTTTCTTCAGCAAACTCACACGCCCTACGGCAATAACCTAAAAATAACAATAAAGCCAACCAAAAATACTACCCATGGGTTTCTTTTTCTTTTTTTTATCTTTTTTTTTTTTTTTTGAAGAGGTTTTTGCTATAGAGCTCGTGCACTCGCCAGACAGAGAGAGACAGAAAGCAAGAACTCAACCCCCAGGGGGGATGGCCACACCGCAATCCCTTTTCCTCCATTCTCCTCTCGGGCTCTTGGGCACACACGCACACGCACCCCGAGTGAGTTTTAAGTCACCAGGTCTGGGACAGGAACTGCGGTCGACTACATGGGAGTCCAGCGACATAGCCATTACACTAATTGCTGGTCCCCTACCCATGAGTTTCTTTCTCTCTCTCTCTCTTTTTTTTTTGGGGGGGGGACACCAAAACAAACTCGTGCTTTAATTCCATGTTTCCACACCGCGTCGACATCCCAGTACCTACGGCAGACTCTAAGCCCCGGTGCTGCGTCCCGCTCGGGTATGTTTGTCCTGCTGGTATCTCGTATCTCCTGTCCCTACCTAATGTCTCATCCTCTACCTCTCCTGCACGTGACTCTGCGGGGCAAGGCCTGTCGACTTCGCGGGCAGCGCAGGTCTTCACGGAGTGGGGACCAGCAACATTTTGCTGAGTAAATGGAACGGGAGCCAGCTGGGGCAGTGGCCACGCAGACTCATCAGTGCCCCTTGGCCATGTGGCGAGAGTGTAAGG